GTTCACATTGAGGTCTCTGTGGGGTTCTCTGTGGAGTTGGCTCTGGGCTGTGCCTCACACCTCTCATGTCAGTGCTTCTCCTTGCCAGAAAGTATGTGGTCACTTGCCCAGCTGTGATCTACCACCCCCACACAGCAATGCTCTGGGTCCATCTCAGTGGCCTCAAGGAGCCTGTCCAGGTGACCATCCAACTGCAGAGAGAAGATGGGACCCCCAACATCACCCTGCTGGAGAAGGTGGTCCAGGAGCCTCAACTGCACCTGAACATCACCTTCCCTGTGAGTGCCACCCCAGCAGAGCTGTAAGCAGGGAGGGGACACCCTGGGCACCCTCCAGACACAGCAGTTTCCACCCTGGGCTGGGGCTGTGGCTCACGCAGGGCTGGCAGCAGAAGTGACTTCCTCACCTTTAGGCAGAGCCTCATCAGAATCACTCCAGGCTGTAGTCTGGTGGCTGAAATAATCCCCTGGGAGTGGATCTGTAGCCCTGGGCAGGGTGTTGGGGGGACATTCCTGACAGCCCCTGCCTTGGGGAGGGTGTTCCTGGGAGTGAGGAGAGCTCTGGGGTCACTCAGAGTGAGCAGAGCACCCTTACCATGGCAGAGTCCTCCTCACCTGGTGTTTCCCTCCACAGGCTCCTGCCCCCACGGGTGGGAAGCAGGAAATTGTGGACCTGCACCTCTCAATCCAAGGAGATTCCCTGAATGTGTCTGAGCACAAGAAGGTGATGCTGAAAACTCTGGAGCCTGGAATCTTCATACAGACAGACAAGGCTGTCTACCTGCCTGGACAGGAAGGTAAGGGGAGAATGATGGACCACCCTGCTCTGGGCTGGTGGGAGATGGATCCAGGAGGTCCAGCCTGGCTCCTACACTGCATGGAAGAACCCACTCCTCCAGCTCTGTTTCCTCTCTGCAGTGAAGTTTCGCATTGTCTCCTTGGACAAAGACTTCACTCCCAGCAACCAGAAGGTGAGAGCAGGGCTGGGGGAGGGAGAGGTGACAGGACACCTCTGCACTGCTCTCCTGCAGCTCAGCCAGCCATGAGAGAGGTGTGGGAGTCAGCTCTGCCTGGATGGTTGTACTCCCGTGGGCAGTCCTGTGCC